TGTCAGTCATCCCAGCACACACCTGTCAGTCATCCCAGCACACACCTTAAATCCCAACACTTGGGAGACAGAGGCAGGCAGATCTCTGTGAGTTCAAGGTCTACAGAGTGAGTTCCACGACAACAGCCAGAAAGAGCTACATAGTGAGACCCTTTATCAAAAAAAGGCAAATATTTATATGTATGTATATATGTAACACAACACATGAAAAACAAGGACAAATCCTTGCTGATCCAGCACACTATGACCCTTTCTTGAGCAACAGCAGGATGGCTCTGCAGGTAAGGAGGCTTGTTCAAGCCTGGCAATGTGAGTTCCGTCTCCAAAACCCACAGGCCGCAAGGAGAGAAGGGATTTCTGCAGGCTGTCCTAGAACTAATCCCTCCCCCTTTCTCATCTCAAAAAATCAAAGAAAGAAAGAAAGAGAGAAAGAAAGGAAGAAAGAAAGAAAGAAAGAGAAAGACACAGAGGGAAGGAAAGTTGTGCTCCATCCAGAATGCTAATGTGGCAGCACCCCGCATGCTGAATTGGAGGAAGCTGGTTCCCAGTGGACTTGAAGCTGCAAACGTGGGTATTTGAGACTCCTTTTAAGATGGCAGGTGGGTCATGTTCAACCCATGAGCTGGAGAGCAGGAGAGCTGTGAGCTGGCGGCAGCATTGTGAGCTCACAGCTGAGCTCATAGGCACCTTGCAGACACTGGGACTCCGGGTGGGACAGAGATGGCCTCCCCTGGATATGATGTTAGTACTTCCTGTGTGATTCTCATTCCCCAAGAGACCTCTGCCAGACAAAGGAAATGGGTCTCTGCCCGGCTGAAGGAGAGGGCCCGAGCCAGAGCCACATCCTGCTGGAGTTGGGTATGGGGAGAGGATCGGAGAGAGAGACAGAATGAAGACCCCCAGCTAGAGCTGGGCACCTTTGCAGTCATCAAAGCTGATCCTGGCCAGGTGTTCTGGTCGGCTCAGGTGCTGGCACTCAACTTGTCAGCTCAGAGGTGGCACATGCTGTGTGGGGAGAGGGGTGAGGAGGTGGGGAAGGGAAAGGAGGGCATGCCTAGAGGAATCTGCAAGTCACATATTAGACTTTTGCTATCCTAAAGGGACAGTGGAGGGGGTCTGAGGCCTTAGCTTCCTCATTGGAAAAGTACTGGTCCTATTCTAGTACTCACTGGTCTCTTCTGTTACTTGCTGATATGTTCTGGTACTAACTGGTCTGCTCTAATACTCACTGGTTTGTTCTGGTACTCTCTGGTCTGCTCTAGACCTCAGTGGTCTGCTCTAGTACTCGCTGGTCTGCTCTAGTACTCGCTGGTCTGTTCTAGTTCACGCTGGTCTGCTCTAGTACTCACTGATCTGCTCTAGTACTTACTGGTCTGCTCTAGTGCTCATTGGTCTGTTCTAGTACTTGCTGGTCTATTCTAGTACTCTCTGGTCTGCTCTAGACCTCAATGGTCTGCTCTAGACCTCACTGGTCTGTTCTAGTACTCACTGGTCTGTTCTAGTACTTGCTGGTCTATTCTAGTACTCTCTGGTCTGCTCTAGACCTCAACGGTCTGCTCTAGTACTCTCTGGTCTGCTCTAGACCTCAGTGGTCTGTTCTAGTACTCGCTGGTCTGCTCTAGTACTCTCAGAGACTGTTCAGTTCAGGCCCTTGCTCTGCAGTTGAAGACTTCCTTGTATTTCTAAACTCTCTGATTGTAATGGGTGGCTTCCTGGGCCAGCAATATGGCTCAATGGGATAGGTGCTTGCTGCCAACCTTGCAGCAAACCTAAATCGCATCCTCCTATATAATTGGTATCCCATACTTGGCCATCTGTTGTGACCTATTAGATTCAACCTCCAGGATGCTGCAAGCCAAAGAGCAGCCATTGCTCTCTGCTTTATCCGGTTGTTTCTGAATCAGCAAACACAGCCAGCGCATGGGTCTGGGAGAAGGGAAGGCAGGAAAGCAAGAGGAGAGGGGTGAATGGTTATGTTGCCCATGACGACTAGTCCATCCCAGGAGCAGGGCCCGCAGTCAGGGTCACAGTCGGTACAGGCTGGCACTCTGTACCAATGCTCCTGGACTTGGGCACTTCCTGCTGTGGCTGCCAGAGGTCAGAGCTCCTGAGGGAACAAGGTCCTCGGGTTTTCAGGAAGGAGACCCTGCAGCTTTTGCTTTGAGCTTTGCCTTCAAAATGCTCCTCAGTGGCCTGAGGCCTGGGCAGGCCGTGTCTGTCCCCAGTAGCTCCCAGCATGTGCGACCATCCTGTGACTGCTGCTCTCCTACCCTGCTTGTCCCATCACCTCATGTCCATGGCAGCGAGGCTCCTTGTGGTCGTCTAATGCCCCCGCTCTGTTCTGTGACAGGCGCCCACAGATTCTGCTGCTCCTGCACCGCCAACTGCTGATGATGACACTATGTTTCTTGGTGTTGTCCCTTCCCCTGATGCTGACCTCACTAGCATGGCATCACCTCAGGTTTGTGCTTTTTCCCTTTTGCTTGCTGTGCTCCTGTCGGCTTGCCAAGGGACTTTACCTTCTCTGAATTCCCTTCTCTCTTCTGGTAGCTTGGTCCAGGTGCTGCTCCTGGAGCCTGGCGTGGGGAGGCCAAGCTGGGGGGGCCTGGGGAGATGGGTGTTGATGAGCTTGGCCTCCCTCGTCCCTGGTGATGATAAGCAGAAGCTGAATAGTGACCTGATTTGTTTCTACCCATACAGAGCCACGACGCTGGCAATTGTTCTAACCTCATGGAGGAGACCAAGTAAGCGTTCTCTACTGAGGGAGTCAGGGCAGGCCCATGAGCCCATGAGCCGGGTTCCCATCAAGCCACCTGCACCCCTGACCCACTGTCTCTTTCCTTAGGACTTTCTCATCAACTGAGAGTCTGCGACAACTTTCTCAACAGCTCAATGGTCTTGTGTCTGAGGTACCGCAGGATTGGGGTCCAGAGAGAAGGTAGAGGGGAAAGAAAAGCATGGTAGAAGCTGAAGCAGGGATTCTCAGGAGACTGACTCATGAGAGGATCCTGGCAGACCCAGAGAAGACAGATTTGGACCCTGACGGGTGATGTGATTTTTATCCTGGTGTAGAAAGTGCGAGATGACAGCTGTTGAGGGCAGGGGCTAAGCCTTGGGGGGGTGAGAACCATGAGGGAGAGGTCCAAGGTCGGCAGGAAAGCAGATTCTGCTAGTTGAGGGGGAAGTAAGGAGGCTGGAGGGATTAGACATCGAGGGTGACAGAGCATCTCCAAGTGAGATGTTGTCTCTCCTAGACTACATCCTACATCAATGGGGAGGGCCTCGTGTCTTCCAACACAAAGGCCTGGACCATGGAATACATGAGACCCTGCCTCAAGATGCCATGGCAGTGGGGGGAGGGGGGAGCTGAGGATGTAGCTCAGTGGCTACAATCTTGTCTGCTGGGCACCAGGCTCTGGGTTCAATTCACAGCACCAAATCAGAAAAAGTTACGTCAAGCCGGGCGGTGGTGGCACATGCCTTTAATCCCAGCACTTGGAAGGCAGAGACAGGCAGATCTCTGTGAGTTCGAGGCCAGCCTGGTCTATAAGAGCTAGTTCCCTGGCAGGCTCCAAAACTACAGAGAAACCCTGTCTCAAAAGACAAAACAAAACAAAACAAA